TTATAATTTACGAGTCTTTTTTTTATGAGAATGCCTTATATGACGTGTATATTGCCATAATGACATCTTGAACCAATAATACAAAGGCATGTGTTAAGTTTTCTTTACATAACATAGAACGCCAACATAACGATGTCTCGTTCAATAAAAGCCTCTCCCTTCTTTTACAAAAATGTAGCCCATAAGACTGGACTTGACTTGGTCTCAATTTCATACATAGGCCAACATAATGATGTACTCGTTCCATACAAGTCACTTCTTTCTTTTACAAGATGTAACCCTATAAGACTAGACTTGACTCAGTCTCAATTTCATACATAAAGTGTCAATATAACGATGTACTTGTTTCATACAAGTCATTCCCTTCTTTTATAAGAATGTAACCCTATAAAACTGGACTTATCAGTTCGTTCCTAGCCACCAAAAGAGCCAAAATATTTGGCACAACGAGACGAGCTAGACCAGATAAAAACAAATATTTTGCATACCACCATGCAAAGGAAGGAGGGGTGTTTTATTTTGGAAACATGAAAGAAGCATGGATTTGTGGGATCAGCTATATATTAATACAGGGACACGGGCTTTGGGCTTCTCAAAATCTTATAAACTATTTCAAAACTAATCTCCTTAACATTGGGTTTTATTTAAATAATCTGTTCAACTTACTTATGTCAGGGCCTCATGATCATTAATTTCTTGATAAGGCTTCGTTTGTTGTTTATTTCCCTCCATTAGTAATTTAGTATAACAATGTTTACACAGTATCCAAATCTGTCTCATATACAATTCTGCCCGTGTAACTTTATCTCATATTGACGGTTTCAAATCCGGGAAGAAAATAATGTTAAGTGTTGATAGCTGACACTTCGTTTTCATGTTGAATTCTTATGAGCAATGAATCCTAAAATGTCTCTTACACGAGAGCATCTTTCTTCTTATGAAGGAAGCACCATGGCCAATAAAGAGTTCTGTGACTAAGGGTGTTGGTCTAAGTACTGATATTCTTGATACAAATTTAATCATCAATTGTTTCGATGCACGCAATACACCAAAATATGATAAAATCTTCGTTTATGGTGATAAGTTTCCGTCATTAGGCACTTTTTTGTCAAATCTTGACTCGAATTTTTTATTTTTCCTAATTTTTTAGAACTTGAATAGGCCCCTTGTCCTCCATTACTATGAATTTCTTTATGATTGTAGTCGTTGATTGTTAGATCATGTCCAGTATCAGTAAGCAGTTTCAAGATTTATGATAGTGATGACTGAAGACTGATGGATTAATCACGGGTTCGTTCAACGTTGCAAAATTTCCACAAATTATAAAAGCAATGGCTCCTTGTATATGTCATGGATTGCCCAAGTATATCTAAAATTATATCAACTAAAAAATTCTGTATGTTATTATTTTATATATTATAAATATTTGCTCACGAGATACGATCTGAATATCTGCTTTGCTAGTTGCTCATATATATTTAGTTTATATAATTCCTTTTATTTTGTGAAATATCTGCTTTGCTAGTTGCTCATATATATTTAGTTTATATAATTCCTTTTATTTTGGGAAATATCTGCTTAATTTGCTAGTTGCTCAATGCATAAGACTAATTAATTAATTATTTATAGTTGAACATTATATATACACACACAGTAAGAATAATTTCACGTACATTCAACTTATAAGACTATATTTTATTAGTTACCAAGCTTTACATTTACAATTTTACCCCTCTATACTTGAAAGATGAGTCTCTATCTCCTTTTTTGTACTAGTCTTTGAACAATACTTGGTTGCTGAAAATTCAGCAAGTCACTCTTGCTTTTATCCAATTAAATTTGAACACGTGTCCAAGTAATTGAAATGATAAACACAAATTAAACACGTGTTCAAATTTGATTAGGTGAAAGCAGGAATGGCTGCTGAATTTTCAGCAGCCAAACATTGTTCCTGGTCTTTTACCTCCCTTTTTTTCTTTCATCCTTTTCTCTTTAGCTTCATTCTCTTTCCTACCCGTGTCTCTCTCATTCTCTCTCTCTCCTCCTTTATCTTCTTCGTCATTTTCTCTCTCTCATTCAATCTTCCCCTCGTCCTCTTCTTCTTCATATTGTTCCCTGAATTTATGAGTGTTTATTTTAGAATTTTTTTTTTTTTTTGAAACAAATATTGCAAAAATGCTAGAATTTTGAAATTGATCTTACAAAGTATTGAAATTTTGAAACGCATAAGTGCAAATTTTTTTGAAATTGATCTTGCATAAGTGCATGAATTGTTGATCTTACAAAAATACAGAAAACAATTTTTACTGATCTAAAATTAGTTTGAAGCTTTATAGATGGTGTTAGTTTGTGATTTTGGCTTGGTTATGTAACAAGTCTATTGAGGGTATGGTTGGAGTTTTAAAATTTTGGTTTGCTTCTTTTTAGACTAGATTTTTTTGCGTGCTTTTTTCTCTCCTTGAAACGATTCAAGACAAGCGAAGTTCCATGAAATGTATTTTGTGTTTTTATCTTTATAGTTAAAGCTCCCTATATATACTGCATTCAATCTGCTTCAGAAAACTGAAACATATTCAAGTTTTTTGTGTGTTACTCACATGCATGCATACTATATAAGCACACGGAGGCTCAAGTATTGCACACCGAGACTCATACTGCACACATATATAAATGTTGCATTTCAAAAAGTGCAAGATGACATTTTTAGTGTCTACCAAGAGCAGGTTTACTCAGAGGATCAATTCTAAATCCTTCTACAAGGAGCATGATGACACATATATAATTATAGCATTTCGAGAAGTGTTTTAAGCAGTTTACCTTGAGGATCAATTCTAAATCCTTCTACAAGGAGCAAGTTGGCGAAAAATGAAAACATATATATCATGTATGCAAGTTGATAAAATATCAAAACAACAACATACAATTGGGGTAGGCCCCATAATGCACTAGAGTAGAGGTTTTTAATATGTCCGGAACATGGGGTGGTACGCCATATGTTAGTATATAAATGTACGGAAGTTTTTTTTTAAGTATCTCTCTATTTGCATAACGACATGTAATATATGAGCCAATATTCTTAGCACACTGAAAATTCTCTCTCTATTTTCATCTAGACATCAGTAGCTTCTAGATATGCCAAATATACAAGATTTACTTAATAGAATATCAATATGGGTGAAATTATAATATGATAAGACATTTTTGGGACCGTTTGTTGATCTTACCTATGATTTGGGTCATAAAATATATTCAGTGAGAGAGAGCATTATATTTTGTGTGCATTCACGTGAATGTTTGTGGGTCTAAGTTCTAACAAACATTCACAAATTAGCCCTCCTCTTTTCTAACTCTCTAGTTTATTAGGGTTTTAATTAAGCAAAGGTCACTATATGCCATAACAAAATATTTACATGGACCAAAAAGAATATTTACTCATATATTAAGTAGGGTAAGAAATAATTATTAGTCTTCATACAATTTTTACAAGCCTATTAATATAATTTTTTTGACATACAACCATATTTTAATTGAAAGGAGAGAGAAATAGGTCAACGTAACGAGAGATTTTTCAATGTGCTCGGAGGTCGGGCACAAACATTATGTCATTAAATAAGTGAAGAGGACACTTGAGAAAAAAATAAATAAAAACTTCACTTGTATAATAACATATGACTCACAACCGGTGTCCCGGACACCTTAAAAAATCTCTCCAACATAATAAATTAATATCAAACCAAGGTTTTAAAAGACACTAGGCAATAGTCGAGCGGCGGGCTGGGCCTAGCGCCTAGGCGGACTAGGCGAATTTAAGTAAATCTATTATATTTCGTGTAAATAAGTGTCTGTTTATACTTAAAGTATATATAATTTCATCATAAACTAGAAAATAGAATGACATATATATTATGAAGTATTGGAACATAATGAAAACATGAGGAGCAAACGTATAATGTGTGTTTATTTAAGTATTCAATAAGTCTCTTACAATTTATTGGAAACAATAAAATGCAAAATGAAAGTTGTTTATTTTCTATCTAAGTAAGTTGCAACCTAGGCAGATGTCTAGACGGCTCTGGGCGAGCTAGGCGGGTGCCTCAGCAAGTCTAAGCGCTTTTTTTTAATTTTCAAATGCCTAGGCATTAATCGGGGCGGTGACCAGCCGCCTAGAGCCTAGGTAAAGATTTTTAGAATAGTGACGTTATTCACACAAGTTGAACATAAAACTTTTTATTTACAAGAAAAAAAACTATTAAACTCGTAATAATCTCCTAATAATAAGATCGAATAGAGAGATGTTCATGAATCATATAGAAGCAAACAATTAATGTAAACAGATCCTCACCAGAAAAAAGACAAATCCGGGAAAGAGAAAAGAAGAACGTGGAAGCCAACCAACTCTTTTCTATGACATGAAGAAGCGGGGCGGCGGCCAACTTCTAACGTTGGATCTTGAGAGTCATACTATAGAAGATGGGGACATACAAATATACATTAAGTTAGTTAATTTAATTTTTAAAATTTCATTTATATGACTAATAACTATTTTTTAAGTTGGGTGGTCAAACCCTAAAACCAACAAGCAAAAGACAAACTGTAAATTCAATTTTTTTGTTTTTTTATTATAAGCGATATTATTCGCTAATTTATACAGAATGAGAAGAGTTTGAACCAGGCAGACAGAGAGCTTGAACAATTGAAAGCAAAGTAAAATGCATCTGTTTGGTATAGTGATCTATAACGTTGTGACACGGTTTGGAACTAAAGAATGCCACACCAAGAATTCAATGATACCCACGTACTCACTCATGCGAGATATTTAACTATTTATACTAAATTAATTCACTTATTTTAATCTCAATTAGTTAATTATTATCTTTTTTCTAAGACACTGTAGTTTGATCTATATTACACACTTAAAGCTCCACACGTTCTCTTGTATTATAAATAGAGACTTCCCCATTTCATTTTCTCCAAGTTGTTTTCAATCACACTTTCTTCCTCTTCTCTCCACTACTCTCCAAATCAAAGCTTTTCGAAATCAACATGGCCGGAACTTCGCCGTGCGCTTCCTGCAAGTTGCTGCGACGCCGATGCACCAAAGACTGCATTTTTGCTCCTTACTTTCCTTCTGATGACCCCCACAAGTTTGTCATTGTTCACAAGGTCTTTGGTGCCAGCAATGTTAGCAAAATGTTGCAGGTCCTACTTTTATATACTTTCTCTACTTTTCTTCTCTATTTCTCGTTGACGGGTCACGAAGGTTTCAACTTTCAACCCTCAAAACATCTTTCAACAACGAGAAGAAAAATATCACTAGATGATCGAAAAGCTAGTTGGCCTAAATGCTTTATTTAAAACGAACCATGACATTAAGAGTTGCCGTTTAATTGAATTATTCGTATGTATGTTGCAGGAGCTTCCGGCTCATCAGAGAGCAGATGCAGTGAGCAGTTTAGTTTATGAAGCAAATGCAAGAATGAGGGACCCAGTGTACGGATGCGTTGGGGCCATCTCTTACCTGCAAAACCAAGTCTCCGAGCTACAAATGCAGCTTGCTGTGGTCCAAGCTGAGATCCTCTGCACCCAAATGCAGCATGAGCCCATGATCCCTACCCCACAACAGATAATGGACGATCCAGATGATCAGAAATCATATTTTCTCCAGAACAACAATCTCGGCCAGTACCTCAGTTTTCCCTCGTCCAGCAATGTAATCCATGACTCTCTCCAGAGGGAGAACATTTTTGGACACGACATGGTTTCTTAATAAACTTTGTAATCTCATGTATTAGACTTTTAATAAACTAAATAGTCTGTTCTAATTTGTTCTTTGGTAAGTAGGTCTTAAATAATGATTTCACCGATAGTTGAAATTGTCTGTTTGGAAATTTTCCGAAAAAAGGCTAATCGTAAATTCTTCTCTTCATCGGAACATTATGGCTGTTAGACTTAGAGAGGACTAACCTACAAAACAAGGGTAAGATGTGTCGACCGGGGTCAACTCTCTAGCATGCGATGAAGTGATAAATTAGGGTTTCTGATCAGTAACTTACTGGGACAAATATCCTTTATGGATATAATAGGTGGCCAATTTAAACAATAAAAATACGACATCAAGTCAACAAGACTCTCGCTTTATAAGGACCAATTTAAACAATGTGGAACATAAATTCTTGTTGGTTAGATTAAAAGTATCACAGTAATCTACAAAGTTTCACACGGTTTTTGCATATATAATTTTACTTTTTCCTTTTCCCACAGTTAAATCTTTATGCGGTTTTTTAAAGGCAAAAACTACCAGCACTTAATTTTGAGAGAGTCTGAACTCTGAAGCAATGGTTTTACCTAAGAAGCCAAAGTTTGGAATTCATGGACCTCGATCCTGTTGCAAGAAAGACAAATCCCGAATATACTGCTCTTTCCCAAAACCCTAAATTTCAAAAAAGTTTCTACTTAAGACAGAATATAAGGAGTTTCTCTACTATTTAATTGATAGTTCAGTCTCATGTTTTCTCACATGGGCAAAGATGCAATTGTGTTTGTCTTAAAGGTATAGAAAAGCACCGCTTCAGATAAGTGTTTTTAGAACTAGAAGTGAGAAACTGCCACTAAAATTCAAAATTTCAGTGGCTTATCTATACTATTATTAAGAAAATCCTCTTTTATCAACTTTTTTTTCTCTTTTTCTTCTTCTATTTTCCTTTACTTTTGATACACACTATTGACAAAAAAGAGCAAAATAGTAATTTTGTACCTTTTGACAAAATGACAATCATATCTCTATTTTTCTTATTTTTTTCCTTTTTTTTTATACTTATTTTTTCAATTTTACCCTCATTTTTGATACACAATATTTACATAAGGAAGACAAAATAATAATTATGTAGTATTAAAAAAATATGCACTTATTAAAAGAAATTGTTCACATACACAAAATGTGTGCTTTCTGCTAGTACATGTTAATGTTAGGCTTCCAGCTGCTGCTTTGCTTCCATTTCTGACTCAATTAGTTGCTCACCAGACTAGTAATTTCCAGCCTAATCTTCACGATTAAGAAAAGTTAAAAATGTGGCATGCCGCCACCTGTTGCAGATAGTTCTTCTAGCTTGTTCGCGTGGGGTGTAGTGCAAGGAAGTGATTCAGTGACAAGTCCATGCGAAGTATACAGTAACAGAAATTAATATTAATTTTTCCGAGATTCTATCTGCGCACCTATTTTACACACCTTACTGGTAATATCTATCATTTAATTCTATTCAATTCGTTCAATCCAACGATCAGAAATTAAGAAGGGTGACAAAAAATAAAAGGTACCACTCTAATTCTTTAGTTCTACTATAATATGATTTTCTCAATCTATCTCTCAATACAAGTGATTTTTGAACATTTTTTTCTTTTAGGCACATTCACGTTTTATATAGTTTATAAATTGAATAAATAAATAAATAAAATTGAAATAAACATCAGTGTACAAACAAAAAAAGAGGAATGTTTCTCTACATTATATGTCGAATCAAATGAAATAATTCAAAAGGGTGAAGGGAAAAACAAAAGGCAACACCTGAAGATTCCTCAAGCTTTGTTTAATCTAGAAGCATTAATCTCCTAAGTCAAACTTAAAAGCATTTTTTATTTTTACTTTCACCCTATCCCCCTATCAAATCCTTCTTTTTGTGCTGTTCTTTTGTGGTTGTTTCTTGCTGTACTTATGTCGTATGGTTCTCACCAGTACCACCATACAAGAAACTGGCATTAAATATTAATTTTGGAGACTAATTGTTTGCTAAATTGTGGTTTTAGTGGACATTTTCATGCTTTTTAATTTCCTTTTGCTCTTCTCTTTTGTAATATATTGATGAAAGGTGACTGATTTTGTAGTCTTCTGTTTGTTTTGGTTGAACGAAGGGATTAATCTTTCTCTTGTACTGATAATAATTTTTATTGACATTCTAAATATCTAATTTTGCATTCTAAGCATTTTATATTTAGAAAAAAAAATATTTTTATGAAGAATGCACGTTTAGATTTTTAAAACGTCAATAATAATTCTGTTTCTTGATTGGTAATTAGTTAATCTTTTAAAGAGTGATCAAAGAATGATAAGTTTTCCTTTCATGACCAACACACAACAAAACTAAAAGTAGTAGATTACTTATCACATCATGCAGGTCCCTCTTCACGAATAAGCACCTCAAATTCGTTTGCAAGTTGCTAATTAGCACGTTGGTGCATGATGTAGAAATTCCTCTCACTTCTGGAGAAGTTTATGTATAATTTGCAGGGTAGTGCTATTCGCATATATTTTTTTAATTCTCATACATCTTTTTTAATTTTCAGCTGTCGGATAAAACAAATTAAAAAAGATTAATGATAAAAATTAACAAGAATGTATCAGAAATAAAAATGAGTTTGTAAATAACACTATTCTAATTTGCAATGGCAACTTGTACTTAGATTTCAGCATGAAGAATAATATTAATTTTGGAAACCTACTTGTTCCAGAGTTCTTGTACATGAATCGAAACATCGAGTGAGATTGGCGCAGAAAGTTTTGTTAGAGTCAAATGGCTTTGAAAACAAATAACTAAACACCAGATTAATTAAAATTAATCAATTATATTTGACAAGACAAAGATATCTGTAATCTCTCCCTATTAATTGTTTATCTATCAACCTCGATGTTTGCCGAGACAAGAATTGGTAGGTAGTGGGGGAGCCTTTATATTTTCTTTTGAGGGCTCGAGGTTAATACATAATACTTCCAAAACACTGGGTAATTGATTGGATCTCTTTACAAAGGCGTCAGTTTTTTTCCACCTTTGTGCGATACAGATTTTCCCACTCTTGCAGTCTTGCTTTGGAGAGCATTCTGTCATCTCATGTCATGTCATGAATTGTATATACGAGAGAAACTTATATACAAAACGCTATAATGTATTTTAAACTTATCATATATCGCTGTGTGTTTTAACTTAAAGGCTTGTTTGGAAATGAAGAAGGTTGAAAAAATTTTTGGTGAAAATATTGTTAGAATCAATTCTTGGTAAAAGTGTAAACGAATCCTATAAAAACACTTGAAATACTTCATGCAATTTAAAAGTGAAAAAGGCTCAAAAAGATTTTGGTGAAAATGTTATTGGAACTAACCCTTGATAAAAGTGCAAGTGAATCGTTTAAAAATGCTTGAAGTGCTTCTTACAATTATAAAAAACACTTCAAATACTTTTAAAATCTAAAAATATTTTGTCTAAAAACGCTTTCAATCATTCTAAAAACATTTATAAACAGTTAAAACTTGCTTGCATGGGCGCACAAATATTTACATGCTCCCTGCCTCAACTTCTGTTTAAAAGGTCATATTTAATTTTCTATAGCAATTTTTATATTCAGACAGAGATTTGAGGACAAGGATCCCCGTCGGATCCTTTTCATGGAATACCGAGATCTTGTGATCATAACTGTTTATTGTATATTGTGCGATTAAAAATTATTTAAAATTTAAAATTTAAAATTAAATATAAATAGTACTTAACGAAAATTGACAGTACGATGTACGATGAACGATCACGATCACGAAATTTCCAGAATCAAAGGATCCAGCGAGAATCCTTTTCCGAGATTTGATACTAAAACTGTTTGACCAGAAATGTAGGAAACAATTATACAATGTAGGTGGTGGTTGACTTTTCAGGTTTGTGTCTGTGGGTGGGTTTATGGACTTGAAGATTAAGAAAGCCTAATTAGGGTAATCAAAGTATGTAGTTTGGACTTGGGTTTAGGGCCTACCAAAATTTCTTTTAATTTGTATGTTTTCCACGAGCCGGAAACCGAATCGGCACCCTGATCATTTTTATTTTCCCTGCAACAAAAGCCAACTGCCACTTCTCCATCCCCATGTGAAAAAATGTGTTTGCTTGTGATTCAGTATTAGTGCAGATCTTATTCTAATCAACATTTACAGCACTTTAACCACATCAAGTGGTTCATTAGTAAGGACGCGGATTGCGTACTCCCCAATAAGTAAAAAAAAATGTGAAGGTCCAAATTCAATGTTCCGAGCTGATGAGTTTGCTTGACTATGACCACGGGTATGAATTCCTCCTAGCCTCTCCAGACCTAGAAGAAGTGGATAATCGTGGTTTGTCACCAGTTGTTCCCCTTTTAAAAGAAAGAAAAAACATTACCATATTTGATTAAACCAAGTAAGTAATGATGATTAAATTCTGACGAACAATAGGACATTTCTGTATATTATTAAAAGTAAATATTTCTTACATTCGTGTTATCATACTACAACACTAGCACTTTTTATAGACAACATTATTCACCCTAGCTCAACAACCACTATCTCACACTTACAACTCGTTGGCCTAAGCTGCAGCTTCAAGTAGAAACACCGGCGAGTCATCTAGTTTCTGGTTACTCCCGTCGGTACCACAAACTTGAACGATAAACTTGATGTTAGAAGTGCCAGAAGGGACTGCTAGGTGATCGACGTAAAATGCTTCCACTCGTGCCGATCCAAGATACTCATGCACCCTTTCTGGCAGCTGCTCCTGGATGGCCAAGTGCTCCTTGAGCTAGTTTTTCAACATAGATATTATAATTTGTGGATGGATAATCGTTCCCGTCTTTCAATTTCCAAGCGATTTTAAGACTAACGCTCTTGGAACCCTCAGGTCCTTTTGTCCATTTGATATATTCACCTTCGACAAGCCATGAATCAGAAGGCGGAAAATCTGAACTCTGCCCACTAGTCTTAATTGA